AAAAAAAAAAAAAAAAAAAAAAAAAAAAAAAAAAAAAAAAAAAAAAAAAACCGAGAGGCATCTCTCTCTGGGTTTCTAGAGTGGATATAATTTTTGTAAACAATCATTGGTCCATGGTTATTAACCATGATTGTAACAAAAAAAGAACATATAAGGGTATTTCCCAAACTGACAACTATAAGATATTGTCACAACTCAGAAATTTCCTTCAAATAACAACTGCTCCTGAAATTAACCAAAGGTTCAACATTATTGTGTGGAAAACGCATTCCTTTAAAGAAAGGAACCCAAAAGACAATACCAACAATCAAAATTTCTTTTTCTTTTTTTTTTTCTTTCTTTTCAATGAGAAGTTCATCTTCAGTTTTACAAAGCCCAGGCATTGTGCCCAGAATGCAATAGCAAATGGATCGGTTTGCTAGGATGCAAAGTAAATTCAAACAGTTTTGGCCAGCAATCACCACTAATTCAAAAGCTTGAGGGTTCCATGCATAGGTTACACAGAGGTTCTAGGTTCAAATGTGGACCCAAACATAGGCAAGTTTTGGTGAATATCCATTCCACCTACACCCTATTTTATGACACAAATATTTGGACCTTATGGAAGTATGGACCAATAAAATTTTCTTTAAATATCAGAAAAATGATGATGTGGCCTTTGGGTTTATGTATGTAGATAAAGTAAAAAAAGCTCCAAAGCCTGCAGTTCTATCCACATTGTTGCATGTAAACCCTGCAGGTCTTTCATGGGCCTTTGTCTTTGTGAAAGACTATTTAATGGATTGTTTTTAACTTGTGGTTACTATTGTGCCTCAGTTTAAACATTGTGAAATAATCAGATCATTTTATTATAAAATTAAATACCCCAAATAAATATAATAGTGTAACTGTAAATAAGTTGCATGAAGTTTTTCCATGTTACTCACTGAGAAGGAAAATTAGTCATCATGATTTCTGTTTTGAAAAAATAGTGACATCCATCTCACAGAAAGTAGTGATTTTTTTTATATTTTTAACTGTATCTTTTCTTCTGATTATGTATCAAAATTTATTAAATCTATGATTTGTCACCTTTCAAAAATAATGATGCTGAATGCTCTAAGAAAGAGAAAGGACTGATAACTATGTTCTTGACATTTTTTTCCTAAGCCAGTACATAATGTAAATCAAATTTTATAGAAATTCCTTTGGTTTGATAAAACAAACTGATTGGGGAAATATACATATTTGTAGTACTTATCTCCTCTTTTAATTACTACTGTTCTGAACATAACTAAAGTCATTTATTTAATCAGCAAGTTTTATTGTGTTTCCTATTCATGCACATGGCTGTTTATCTAAGAATCACCACTTGCACCTTGTAAACAAGTCTCAGCAATAGGGAAAAGATTTTTTTTTTTTTAAATTTGCATGAGGATGTTTATTGTAGTATTATTGATGATTTTCCTGGGGTCCAGCATAGTGCCTGACATATAATCATTGAGTGAGTAAATAAATGAACAAATCTTTAAAAGAACAAACCAGTAGAATTCCAGCAACTTGAGAGATGGAGGCAGTTGGACCACTAATTCAAAGTCAACTTCAGCAACTTATCAAGACCCTGACTCAAAATAAAAACTAAAAAAACTGGCCTGAGGATGTGGCTTAGTGGTAGAGAGCCCTGAGTTCAACCCCCAGTTTAAAACAAACAAACAAACAAACAAAAAACAGTAGTCAAGAAACTCCATATTATGGGATAATATATAGCCAATTTTTTAAAAAGAGAATAAAGTAGTTCAATAGACTCTAATTTAGAAAAATACCCTTGTTAAGTGAAAAATATAGCAGAAAAAATATATACACCATTTTCATGAAACAARCTATATATAGTTTCTTCTTGGTATTTGATAGAGACTAGTTGCAAAACCCCCACAGATTTCAAAATCTGTGGATGCTCGGGTCCCTTACACAAAAAGACACAGTATTTGTATATAATCTACACATATTTGTATAGTTTACATTACCCCCAAATTGCTTATAATACCTAATACAAAGTAAATAGTTGTTATACTGTATTATTTAGAGAATCATGACAAGAAAAAGTCTGTATGTGTTTAGTACAAGTGAAATTTTTATTTCATTTACTTATTTACTGGGGATTTAACCCAGGGGTGCTTTAACTTTCCACTTTCCACACTATTTATTTTAATTTTAATTTTTATATTTTTATTTTTATTTTTATATATTTTTATATTTTATTTTCCACACTATTTATTTTTATTTGAGACAGTGCCTCTAAAAGTTGCTGAGGCTGGCCTCAAACAGATGGGAAGTTTTATTATTTTATCCTCCTGTTTTACAGGTGTGGTTACCATGTCCAGCCAAAAAGTGTCTTGCCCATGATTGGATGCTGAGGGGAGAAGAGGAGATAAGACAATGGAGGAGGTCAATAATTAAGTTTCCTGAAACGTCTGGAAGAAAATGTCCAAAACACAGATGGGTAGCAATGGCCTAAGAAAAACTCCAAGACAAGGGGAAACAAAAGCACGAGTGGAGCATAGTTATGTCTGTAGACTGATGGTGAAAACTTGACTACTTTCATTTTCCTTTTAGTTAGGGATCGTGTAACAAATGAACACGAACTTATCAGCATGGACCTGCACAATTGTATTAATCTCATCATAGGACCTCATCATGTAGGTCAGAGGTCCTACACGGTTCTCAGCTTCAGGTTCCACAAGGGGAAAGCAARGGGTTGGTCACAAAGAGCTCTACCAACCTTCTAAACTCAAGTTGCTAGCGGAACCTAGTTTCTTCTAGCTGCAGGACCAAGGTTTCCAGTGCTTTACTGGCTCACCTGTGGCCACTTAGCTCCTACAAGCATCTGGTCGAGATCCAGTAGCCGTGTGTTGAATCTTTCTCCTCACACATGGAATCTTTTTGACTTCAGCCACATCCCTGCCTCAGCTGGAGAATGTTTTTTAAGGGCTCATCTAATTAATTGGGTCCACCTGAATAATTGTTTTAGTCATTTTTTTTTTCTCGCTGCAACTAAAAGATCTGACCAGTACAATTTTAGGGGAAAAAAAAGTTTATTTGAGGACTCACAGTTCAGAGGTCTTAGTCCATAGAAGGCTGGCTCCATTTCTCTGGGTTAGAGTGAGGCAAGACCTCATGGTGGAAGAGTGTGGCAGAAGGAACTAGCTCATATGATGATCAGAAAACCAAGGGAGGGAGGGAGGCAGAGAGAGAGAGAGAGAGAGAGAGAGAGAGAGAGAGAGAGAG